GAGAGCGAGTGTGTGTGAGAGAGAGAGAGCGAGTGTGTGTGAGAGAGAGAGAGAGCGAGTGTGTGTGAGAGAGAGAGCGAGTGTGTGTGTGAGAGAGAGAGAGTGTGTGAGTGAGAGAGAGTGTGTGTGTGTGTGTGTGTGTGTGTGAGAGTGTGAGTGTGTGTGTGTGTGTCCATCTCAGGTCTGATTTGTCTGGCTGTGTTGCTTGGTTAAAGTCGTGATGACTGTGATGTTTTTGTGACTCCTGTGTTGAAGCGAATCGAGGTTTCTCCATTGGGATTGGAGACGTGACGCCTGGACAGGGACTCTTGAAGGCCAAACAGGAACTACTGGACGCTGGCTATAAGAAATGTGACGAGTATATCGAAGCCCTGAAGACGGGCAGGTTACAGCAGCAGCCGGGCTGCACCGCAGAGGAAACGCTGGAGGTAAGAGAGAGGAAATTTCATTTTTCTTTCATTTTTCACAATTATTAAATCAATAATCAAGCAATTCAAACAAATAATAAAAAGCAATTAAAATGAAGCGATTAATAAAAAATAATAATTGGTTTGTATAATGTGTCATTTTGTTTTTGTAATATGTATTTTCTTTTTTTATTTATAATTTTTATAAATTATTATTAATTTATTGACTTTATTGACTTTAATTTATTATTTATTAAATTATTTAATTAATTTCAATCAACATGCTAACATGTTTTTTTTATATTCATTTATTTTAATCTGTACTCAAACCAGGCGTTGATCCTGAAGGAGCTGTCCGTCATCAGAGATCACGCTGGCAGTGCGTGTTTGAGAGAACTGGACAAAAGCAACAGTCCACTGATCATGGCTCTGTGTGGATCCAAAGGTACCATCAGAACCTCCCTAATGGACCTCAGAGTAGATAACAAATGTGACCCTGGACCACAAAACCAGTCATAAGGGTCAATTTCTCTAAATTGATAGTTATGCATCATCTGGAAGCTGTATAAATAAGCTTTCCATTGATGTATGTTTTGTTAGGATAGGACAATATTTGGCCGAGATACAACTATTTGAAAATCTGGAATCTGAGGGTGCAAAAAAAATCAAAATATTGAGAAAATCGCGTTTAAAGTTGTCCAAATGAAGTTCTTAGCAATGCATATTACTAATCAAAAATTAAGTTTTGATATATTTACAGTAGGAAATTTACAATATATCTTCATGGAACATGATCTTTACTTAATATCCTAATGATTTTTGGCATAAAAGAAAAATCTATAATTTTGACCCATACAATGTATTGTTGGCTATTGCTACAAATATACCCCAGCGACTTAACACTGCTTTTGTGCTCCAGGGTCACAAATGTAATTTTTATCCCAATGAATGATTTGATGGACAGACGTGGGCCATTTAATGTGGCATACCTTTCTTAAGGCTTTAGTGTTAGATTGTCAGATTTTTTGTCAGATCTAATAATTTTTTTGTAAGATGAAAATATTTATACATTAAGTAAATTATATAAATGTATATATATTAAATTAATTGAATACTGTCATTAATTTGTTAAGTCATTACAAAATCATACTAATTAGTAATTTAAAAGTTTGTTAAAATGTAAATGTCTCAGAACTGTAATAAATGAAAAAAATAAATTATGAATTTATTAGTATTTTGTTTAGTGTTTGTTAGTATTATTTATTATTATTTAAAATAGCGTATGTGTGTATATATGACCCTGGCTGTGGAAACCCTGCTAAAGTCATTTTTTTGTGACTCGCATAAAATCATATTTCATAATGTAAAAAACATTCTGTGAAAATGTAACCTTGATATCTTTAATATTGACTGAGTAAGACCATGTCAAAGATTGAAATCATAGTGAAATTAATGGTTGAAATCAAACTTTGATGCTTGTTATGTCATAATTAGATTTTGAGACTTTTTTTATAACTTTATTACCAAAAATGCGACAAGTGAAGTGACCATGAACTCTCCCTCACTGCCTCATTTTCCTTTTGTGTCAGAATAAATAAAGCATCTCCCCTGACTGAAGTCTGTACAGTTGCAGTGACAGCACGATTTCTCTCGCTAATCAATCAGAAAGTTCAGAATTCATAAAGGAAGCAGTGTGAGTCTGTGAGTCACAGATGATTAACACATGACTCTGAAATCATCTCTGCGTCTCCAGGTTCATTCATTAACATCTCACAGATGATCGCGTGCGTCGGGCAGCAGGCCATCAGCGGCTCTCGTGTTCCCGACGGCTTTGAGAACCGCTCGCTGCCTCACTTCGAAAAGCACTCCAAAGTAAGAACAAAGCACTCGAGTCTGCAGCTTTTCTTTTGTTTGTCCCTTTCTTTCTGTATGCATGACTGTATGCAACTTTTGTGCACTGTCTGCTGTGAGGATTTCAAATAAATGCTTTTTTAAAATTAAAAAGGTGCACAGGAGAGATTACAGTAGCTCTCCACTTTTTATTGAGTAGATTTACACTGTTTAATTAGGTTTTCCAAATTTTGAAATAATGCATTTGTTTGAAATAATACATGCATCCTTATTCAATTGACTGCTTTCCATGATCAAGTCTGAGGTTTATGCACGTTTTGTCCATTTTCATTACAGTCATGTCATTAACTCACAAAAATGAATGGTTTAGCATGCTTTACAGTTCTGTTGGGTTTGTGGAAACGTTTCAGAACTTTAAAAGTTATCTGAGGTTAAAGAAGACCCAGAACAAAGGCTGTGTGGAATAAAAGCATCATGTTTGTGTGATTGTTCTGTTATGTTTCAGCTCCCTGCTGCGAAGGGCTTTGTGGCAGACAGCTTTTATTCTGGTCTGACCCCCAGCGAGTTCTTCTTCCACACTATGGCTGGTAGGGAAGGTCTGGTCGACACAGCCGTAAAAACAGCAGAGACCGGATACATGCAGGTGCGTTTGCCTCCTGTATAATGCTGCAGTTAATACAAGTATCAGATTTATGCATGCATGGAAACGTTTTACATTTCAACTCTGTAAAGCCTGACGTGAAGTGTTAAATGTCAGAACATTTACATTTGGAGATTAACTTTAGACAAAATATTTTTTGAAATATAAAATATATATAAAAAGTTTGCATGTGTTTTTTTTTTTTAGTATCATATTTGATGCATCAGTCTTTTCTGACTCATACAGTCTGATATAGTGAGAATATGAAGGGGAAAAACAGCTCAGTTTTATTCAGAGACTCAAACTGAGCAAAAATATGCAATTTGGTTCAGATGCTGATATTTATATGATGAAATTCTGATGCTTGTAATGGAAATCAATGAGATCCTTATACCAGTATAGCAGTATATACTGACATAAAATTATATAAATATCAGTCGTCACTCTATATCTCCAATAATATGTCTCCGTAAGATGAGATTGAAATGATCCAAACATATAATGCAATGCAATCCAGTGCTGATTGAGAGATGAAGAAATAAACGCTCCTCAAAAGATCCTGAGGATCAGATTTGAGACTCTAAAACATGATTGATGGAGAATCAAGTAAAGCTGAGCTGCTTCAGTCCAGTAAGTGTTCATCTGGAGATATTACTGCAGTTATTCTGACATTTAGACGAAAATATACTTTTACTTGATAAAAAGTCTAAACTATCAATCAGATGACAAAAGGCATGGATTGTATGTGAAGAAATTAGATTATCAAATATGATACAGTAGCTTTATAGAGTGGCAAAACTACGTTTTTGTTATTCCGTAAGTCTCCTCTATTGAGATCTGCCGTTAGTAATGAAGTGTGGTCTTTGTGTGGTTCAGAGGCGTCTGGTGAAGTCTCTGGAGGACTTGTGCTCTCAGTACGATCTGACGGTGCGCAGCTCCACCGGTGACATCATACAGTTCATCTACGGCGGAGACGGACTCGACCCCACGGCCATGGAGGGAAAAGACGAACCGCTGGAGTTCAGAAGAGTCCTCGACAACATCAGAGTACGTCAGACGTTATGCAGAAAGAAACTCTGGTTAAATGTGTGTTAGATCGTGTTTATCATCCAAAACACATGCACCAACGTGTTTATTAAATTCATTTCCACACAATATTAACCAGTATGCATGGCTGTATGATGCCTTGTACATAGAACAGATCAAATCAAAAAAAAGGTGACATTTTATTTATTTACTTTTTTTTTTTTATGGTTCAGCTATTGCTCATGAAACACTTTTCTCTTTTAATAGTTTAATCAAATATAATAGCGTTTTATTTTAATAATAAAAATCATGTCTATTAAATTGAATTCATAAAACTTTAACAATTCATAGTATGCTGCTTTATAATGAGGAACAGATCAAATTTAAGTGACAAAATTATATATATATTTTTTATGGTTCAGCTATCCCTCATGAAATATAGTAGATATAGATTATTTAAAAAAAATTTTACTTTTTTTTTTTTTTTATTTAATAATAAAAAGCACGTCTAACCAATTGAATTAATAACAATATTTAATACATTAAATATATAAAATTTTATATATGATTGCAATTTTAACAATAATGAAATCCATTTTATTTTTCACATTGTTTTTAATATTATTGTTGTTGTTACTTTTTTGCTAAACCGTTGCAGGGAAGTTATAGGGCCTAAATTCACTGATCATGGTTTTTGTTCATTGTTTTCTTCAGAGAAACTGAAGTCTAGTTTGTTCATTTGTCATGCGGTTCTGCTCGTGTGAGAGCAATCACAGGATCCTTTCATCTGCTAAAGTGTGAACCGACATTTGTGAAATGAGAGACTA